TTGCGAACACAACGCAACGACCTCGCGTCGCCTCCTGGACCCCTGGACCCCAACTTTAAAACGGGAACCCTTCTGCTACGCATTCGGGAAAAACACAAATCCGCCCTTCTTGCTGAATGGGTGTAGGGTTTAGGGATTAGGGTTGAGGATTTATGGCTTATAATTGGGTTCAGGAAGTCGGTGTGGGTCGTCAGCCAAATCGTGTTCCAGAACGAGCAACATGTCAGGCTATTAGAAGCTGGACCCGCGTATCCAAAATACAAGCCCCCCAACGCTAAACCCTAAACCCCAAACCCTAAACCCTAAACCCCTGTTTGTAGCTACTGGTGTGTCATTCGTGTACCTTCGTGAGGTATCTGGGTATCCTGCGGAGCGTGCACGATGCCCTGGACTTGAAGTTTCTGGGCTGCTGTTAATTAAGTTAGTGCCATGTACCCCGTTTAGGGTTTAGGGAACTTAGGGAACTTTTTTATTTACCGTGTACCAAGAATATGGTACTCAAATCCCCAAAACTATCTGCCTCTATTGTGCTAACTTGATTTAAGGAACTATGTACCCCTAATATGGTACTCAAATCCCTAAACCCTAAATAGCCAATATGTGCTTGATTCCCCCAGGTTGGCTGTTGATCATGCGAAGCATTGCTTGCCTGGCAACCTCCAAGGACTCCTTTCCGCAGCCTTGATGTGATGTACTTACTGGTCCTTAGTAGGTAGGATTCTGAGTAGTTAGGATCCAGAAAAATGAGGAAATCAATTGGGGTTAGATGATAGGGATACTGGACAAGCAGATGGAAACTACTACATTATCTTAGGGTGTATATATATATATGTGTTAGTAGGGAATCAGGGAACTCTAGTATACAGATATTACATAGGAGTTGCATTCCCTTATTCCCTACTAGGAACCCGTAAGTCTAGGGTTTACGGTCACACTCTCCAGAATCAAAGTGGGTGTTTCGGGCTTAGGATTCAGGGAATTTAGGGTGTAGATCTGTTCAAGATGGTGTCTTCCTAACAAGGATGCTATCATTAGTGGGAACTACAGGAGCATGGTTTTAGAAGGGCCAATATCATCACTTCTGTTGACATCGTTACGGTATTGTGCATTGGGTTCATATGCTGCAGCGCGCCACACCTTTTCGCAGGAAGACTGTACGATTTGTGCAACATGGGCGGCACTGGTTTCAACAACCTGGATGAGGGCGACTCGAATTGAATCTGCGTGATTTAGGGTTTTTCATTAATCAGGTGGTCCCTTCTTGGAGGCTGTGTAGCAGGGAGTACAGCATGTTGGCCTATAAGAGGGCCTACGGTTCATGGCCAAGCCTATACCGAAGTGAGCGTGTGCTCGTGCCTTTGGGTGTGGGTGGGCATGTTGTTGCAGTAGGCTAAGGCAATGTCAGGGCTTCGGAAACCATGGGTTCCCAATAGCCTCTCTCTCGCATAACATGTGGGTTGCCATTGGGGGTCTGCGTTTGGTGGGCTTGGTTTGGGGTGCACAGGGACTCCAGATAGACCCCCCAGATATGCTGTTGAGGACGAAGTTCTGCATCGCCGAGAAATAATACAAGTGGTTACTACAGTACTTGACCAGGATTTAGTGCGCATGCTTTTGTTTCATACAGTCCTGCTGCAGGTCACGGTAAGTTCATGCGCATTGCTGGCGCGAGAGACGATATCCTTGCAATCCTGAACAACAAGGCTGGTGCAATGATCGCTTTTTGCGTTCAGGGGGTGATCCTGCCACTCGCGTCTACTGTTGAAGATGCTGTGCCCAAGGGTTCGTCACACATGCTTTAATAAAGTGAGGGGAGGGTCCATCATGAAGGTAACGTCCGTTCCCCCTGAACCCTAAACCCTGAACCCTAAACCCTAAACCCTAAACCCTAAACCCCAAACCTTAATCCCTAAACCTTTTCTGGTCCTTTCCTAACCTCGTCATGTGAGGCTCTGAGACGCTCCCTGCCTGTCTTGTATGGTGTAAGGGACCGCTCTTCTCAGGCCCCCTTCGTCTTCATGCTGCTACCATAATGTAGTACATGATAGTATAATATAGTACATTATACTATAAGAGAGTATATCATAGTACATTATACTATCTAATCAGAGAGGTTCATGTTTATCCCAGCTGCTGCAACAGGGGACGGATGCCGGGGTGATCAAGCAGCTGCTGGTCATCGACTACACATTAGAGACGCAGCAGCGCCTCAGCAGCTTTCAAGTCGCTTGCTTCGGGGCCAGGTGGCTTGGATAGTGTAGGGTTGAGGGTTTAGAGTTCAGGGTTTAGGGTTCAGGGTTTAGGGTTCAGGGTTTAGGGTTTAGGGTTGAGGGTTTAGGGCTGCCCCCCCCTCATTAACAGTTGGATAATCTTTGTACTAGAAGTATTTGTAATATGGAAATATGTCTATATATAAAGGCATAGCGCTTAATATGACCCGTATGATCGACTATTCATTGGTGGGGGCAGGACCCCAAGTGTAGGTCTTTAACCTGCTTCGCCGGTCGCGAGGGGCTGCACGCTGCAACAACTTGGGGGGCACTTTTCGAAGGTCCCTAGCAAAAGGATTGCTTCATACAGGGGGGGACCCAGTTTGTTTGCAAGCTGAAAGATGGCAAATGGTAGTTTCCCAAAATGGGGAGGGGACACCAAAAAAGACCCCAATGTATTCTAAGCTTTGTTATTTGGACCCGCCAAATGGTGCCCTTCATTTTAGGATACCCTAAGATCTAAACCCTATATAGCCCTACAGAATGCTTATAAGTCCCTTGAAAGGCACCCCCGATTTTGGGAAAAAATGGCAACTCTGTGCTTGATAGTAATGTTGAGGGGTGAGGGTTCAGGCTTTATGGGTTTAGGGTTCAGACTTTAGTACCTAAGCCCTTAAACGCTAAACCCTAAACCCTAAACCCTTAAACGCTAAACCTCAACCGCTTAGAGTTTCAGCTTCTTCGGAGCTCCTGTTGTATCAAGGGCTCTGCAGTGGCCAGAATTAGAGGTATATATTACAGGTCTTTGAGCTATAGTCCACAATTTTTGAAAGAGGGTTATATAGGGGATTCTACAGGGGAGTATTATAGGGGTTAGTAAGGGGAATACTTGGAGCTTAGATTCTAGCTCATACACGGATTGAGGGTTTAGAGGGGTTATCACGGAATGTTCTTGAATATTATTGGTAATCATTCAGGCGTCGACAGCATTTACATGCACACAAACACTCATTAAATCTAGCGCAGAATAATGTAATCTGTTTTGCAGGATCCCCTTGACAGGAAGCGCACCCCAAAACTCCTCATATCCCTAGATGCCTCATATATCTTAGGAGGACCCCCCTCTCTGTAATAGTGGTATAATAGGAATATAAGAGGACCCTAACATAATCCTTATTATCCATAATAGCCACTATTACTGGGTGGGGGGGTCCACCTAACGTATATCCCCTTTAAAGCTCTGCTCAGGAGTGTCCTAGTCCAGGGCATGACCGGCGAGACGCGACTTCCTCAGCTGGTTGATCAGATGCGCGCGCTGCTCACGGCTCTCGTGGGGCATCTGCCACAGGCCCTGTAGGATTTTGGGCTTCGGAGCTTAAAACGGGTTTAGGGTTTAGAGTTTAGGGGAGTAAGGATGAGTTTATAGTGGCATTATAGTGGCCCCCATGTTTGGGATTCTATAGTAGGGATTTGGGAACACTCCCATGTCTTCAAAACAGGGTCTCTCTGGCCCTACGAGGCTTGTCTCTGATGTGCAGTGGATGGAGAAAATCTTGCACCGCTTAAGATACTAATGTACTGTAATGATGGAGAAAACTGGTATGTAGGGTGGCGCAAGAACTCCATCCATCCTACATCCCAAAAGCCCCAAACCCTGTAAAACCTAAATCCTAAACCCTGAACCCTATACATCCACAATAGGGTCTAGGGTATTCCTTGCAGCGATCTTGTGTCTGCGGTAGGGCCAATTCCACAAAAGTGCAGCGGACGTTGTTGGTGCATGGCACCCTACGCCCAGAAGCCTAAAAGAAGACACGCGTGGATAAGCTGGCGGCTGCAAAGTTTTAGTAAAATTGGTGGATGAAGGTTGCTCTACATTGAGCAAATACTAAGCAGTTAGGTGAAAATCTTCCCCCAGAAGTTTCATACTTGCCTTGCAATGGGTAAGCATATGTGGCAGTCTCAAAATCGCTGCCAAGCAGTCCAAGAGGGAACGGCCTTCCATGCAGTTGGAAACAGTCCCTCAAAAAAAAAGCTAATCCCTAAATCCTCTAGTCCTGATTCATCTTTTCAATCCCACGGTTTAGGGTTTGGGCCTTAGGGTCTTTTTGTTTAGGGTTTGGCGGGTTAGGGCTTAGAGTTTTAGGGTTTAGGTTTTGGGGGTTGGGGCTGTTGGCTGGTTTGGTCTACGGTTTGAAGCTGAGCGTTTTGGGACTTTTTGGTTTAGAGTTTGGGGTTTCGGGCTTAGGGTTTTAGGATTTGGGGTTTACGGTTTGGGGCTGTAGGGTCAAGGGCTGCTGCTTTGAGAAAGCTTCTTTCCCTCATGGCCCATTCAAGCGCTATCCTGAAATTTCTCACCTGAAACATTGGTGGCCCTTGCCACCTGAAATTTTCGGCGCTTGTACTTACATCCAGGCTGAAGAACTTGCATTGCTAGTCGCGCAGTCTCGCTGAATCCTTGTGCGCTGACGGGCAAGCGCAGGCTCCTTCTGACATCTTCCCTGTAAAGCTTGCAACCTTCGTAGCCTGCATGCACATTTGCATATTCGGCACAGTTGCTGCCAATGAGCTCTGAACCTGATCCTCAGCAGATTGTTGACAGAAGACGTCCTGCATGAGCAACATGATTACTTTTCAGGCTTTAAGTCAAAAGGAGCATGACCCTGCATGAGAACTCTACAACCCTGAGCTCAAAGCCCCACCTCCGCTGGAGAGCCTGAACCCTTTTGGATCCCTACTTGCTGAACCCTACTAGACCCTAGACTCCAATTTCCTAATCCAGAAGCCCCCTAAGCCCTGGGCCCCTGAAATCCTTTCCATCAACAGGACCGTTGAAAAAAGCCTGCATGACACTGGGTAGCTTACACAGAGGAGTACTTGCTCTAGTACACTAAGGTCATGCAGGGGTTTTAGGTATCAGCACGTGTGGGTACTGAAGCTTTCAGATTTACAGGGGGCTCAACGTACACCCCAATGTTTTCATCCTTGTTAGGACGACTCTCCCAAAAACGGACCCCCCAAGTCCAATAAGCCCCCTAGAGCCCGCATAGCCCCATTAAACCCCTAGACCCTAAACTCTATCCATTTCTTTTCCATTCTACAAGCCTTATATGATATATCCTTTACATAGCTCAGGGCCCCTAAAGAATATACTTTAAACCCCTAAACTGTTACCCTTCTTTGGCCGAAGGAGGACGAGCTGCAGGCGCTTTTGGCTGACTGGAACACCTTCGCCCAGAACTGCGCCTTACCTCTGGGCTAGGTTTAGGGTTTAGGGTTTAGACGCTTGATCCCCTTACTGTAACGCAATAGGTTTAGAAAAAGTCTGAGCCCCATATGATAATCTTCAGTATAGAGATCCCAAGAAAGGTACTCCTAGTTCATGGATATCCCATCCAGGTGCTGGAATATATTGGGTATAGCGCTTAGAGGTTTTAGGGTATAAGAGCTATAGTCAGAACTCCTGGAAGGGTGTATACAGGGGATTATATACAGGAGTGTTATAGGGGTTATTAAGGGGCATACTAGGGGCTTAGGCTGTTGCTCATCTGAGGTGGAGCAGGCTGTCCCCATGAACAGCATAATGGAATTTGAGATGGACAAGGACATTTAGAATGAATTGGAAACTCGGGTTCTAAAGTGACTACCGCGGTCTAAGAAGTCAGGTTCTAGGTGCCAAAACTTCCAAGCTTCACGCAGGTAACGTTTTAAATAGCATCTTATTAGTACTACCTACCTTGTGAATGAGAGTGTGGCGCAGGGTGCTGTGGGATCAGGCTCTCAAAATCGGCTCACTCTTGATCAGACGAAGATTTGTTGGAGAAGTAATCCCCTCCCCCTAGCATTACCCCCCCCACCCCCTAATATTAAATACTCCCAATATATTATAATATACCACAATGGGGAGATTTTAGTATTGCGGGGGTTAATGTTAGGGGGAGGGGATTACAGATACGGTGCTAGCTTCTTCAAGATGCGATGCTGCGGGACCCGCATGATGCATGTGCAGTTTTCACACGCGTGGATTTCTTCAAAGTGGTAGCTTCTAAAAATAGGGTTTAGGGTTTAGGGTTCCGAAAATAGGGGCACCCCAATACAGGTCCCCCAAGTACGTGAAATCGGCATCCCTAAGGAACCCAGCAAGGCATGGGATTTCAGTAGATTGCAGGTGTCGGTCGCATGGAGTATGCAGGGACATTTTCAGACACTCACAGATGGCTGTTGCAACAACCAGAGCTCCCAATAAAACCTAGAAATCGGACGGGCCATAGTAGGACCCCGCTGTGCATGGAAACTGCCATATCCCTACCTAAACCCCAAAAGTATGTAAAATAATAGCCCTAAACCCTTAATGATAGCCATAAAGGCAATTATTTTACAGACTTTTGGGGTCCAGGTAGGGTCCGAAGGCTTATCCTTTGAAACTCCCAGGCGCTGCTCAGCGAAATGACGATTCCGCTCTCCTTCTGAAGGCCACGGGGCGGAATGCATCAGAGTTAGGGTTTAGGGTTTAGGGTTTAGGGTTCCCTAACTACCCTATACCTTGGGAATGATGGTACTATGGTATACTAGGGTCATGCAGGATTTGTAGTATCAACAGCAGGGTAGATGTACAAAAGCTGGGGTCCTAGGTTTAGGTTTATGGTAAGGTGAGGCTATGCACAAAGATTGGCTTCATAGATTTAGGATTTGGGGGTTGAGCATCCCATCACCGCAAGAAATAGAATCTGTTAAAGGCGGAGACCCCAGTAGAAGGTGGTTCTTCGCTGGCGATGACAGAGAAATTCGGGAAGGGCTTGATGCGTGGCGTTTTGGCGAAAGAGGTTCCATCCTGGCCTGGCAAGAAGAGGTGCCAAGGGGCTTTGAATTCCGGAGACTCGAGAGATAATATAGTAGTTTCCATGTTCCATTACCCCTATGTTACCCAGATGGATTCCCTATTATATAAGAATGTTAACCAGGTGACTGTCAAGTCTGGCAAGAGTTCGCATGTTTAATTTCCTTCATCCAGAAATCATTGGGGGCCAAAAATCCACAAGCAGACACCAAACTTGCTACACCCATGTAGCATCAAACCCACCAGCTTCAACCCCAAGCCCTGGACCTCTCCCTATCTCTATCTATATATGGATCTCCCTTCAAGCTGCCCATTGATATGTAGTTTTATCTCCACTTGAACCCAAAAGGCACCAAAACTCCAACCCCCAAAGCCCCTGAAGCCTAAATGCTTAACCCTACTATCCCCCCAAACCCTAAACCCTAAACCTTAAACCCTAAACCCTACACCCTAAACCCAAAACCCTACACCACCCAAAACTCTTCAAGCCTCAAGCTGGCAGAGGCCCTGGCGGACCGAATCAGCCGGGTAGTCGGCGAGCTGTCGGACAAGTGCCAGTCAATGATGGGTGGCTTTCTTAGGGTTAAGGGTTTAGGGTTTAGTGTTTAGGGTTGATGGAGGAAATCTTGCACCACCTCAAGTCCCTAAAGTCCTAGGAATTACAGAAGTTCAGGGCCCCCAGGTGGTGCAAGATTTCATCCATCACCGGTATGTGGGCAGTTCTCAACTTAGGATCCCTTTTTTGTACCCCTAAATATTAGGGTTTCGGGTTTAGGGTTTAGGGTAATATAATCTGTAGCCAAATGGGGCCTAAACCCTAAACCCTAACTGTAGCCAAATGGGGCTTATAATTTTGGGAACAACCCATGTGGCGCCTGGAGAAGCCCAGATGGGTATTGGTCTAAATTCCTTATAATACGGGGTCCTACACTTGGGTTCCCATTACAATACGGGGCCCTATATAAATTTCCCCCATTTTGGGAACAGTAATTTAGGGAAACTACCAGATGTTTCTGCAAAGCTTTGCTCAGGTCCTAAGGTGGCGTTCCTGGGCGAGGCTGCTGATATTCCCAAGAAGAACATTGACGTCTTCGTGGATGAGGTGGCGCACCGTTTAGGGTTTATTGCTTTAGTCCTAAGGAAGTTCCAGGTGGGTAGTTTACCCCGTATAAGTCTCATATATAAGCCTTATGTAAGGGTACCCGCCTGGTAACTGCCCACCTGAAAACTCCCTTAATTAGTGTTTTGAGGGTTTAGGGTTTAAGGGTCTTGACTTGCTAGATTCCTTCCATCGTGTTGCGATGAATCATGTACTTTTCGACTAATCTGACTGGACCACGGCTGGCTATGTTTAGCCAGTAAAGGCCTTGGTCTCCGTGAACTTCACGAACATTTGAGTAGTATCTTATTTGGGGATACTATGGTACCCAATATAGAGTAAGATTCTATCTTCCTTTTGGGGTATAGTATTTTATATAAGGAATATCATCTTACTGGGTTCAACCACCAAAAAACGCTA